CCCTAAAGAGCAGGGAGTCCAAAACTTCGATCAGTACGCCGTCCAACCAGGTGAGAGCATGCTAGCTGAGTTAATGCTAACCTAGCATGTGTGTAGTTACAGGCTAGCTTTCCTGCACACTGTCATGTGGTAGTTATTGTGGTCTCTGATTGGTCGACAGGGCACCCCTGCTGCCAGACTTCTTCCTGGACGACGCACCCGAGACACTGGTGAAAAAGATGGAGGAACACGGTAAATACTATAAATACAGCAAATACTATAAATACAGTAAATACATTAAATACAGCAAATACTATAAATACAGTAAATACTATGAATACAGCAAATACATTAAATACAGCAAATACTATAAATACAGCAAATACTATAAATACAGCAAATACTATAAATACAGCAAATACTATAAATACAGTAAATACATTAAATACAGCAAATACTATAAATACAGCAAATACTATAAATACAGCAAATACATTAAATACAGAAAATACTATAAATACAGTAAATACTATAAATACTGTAAATACTATAAATACAGCAAATACTGTAAATACTGTAAATATAGTAAATACTATAAATACTATAAATACTGTAAATACAGCAAATACTATAAATACTGTAAATACAGTAAATACTATAAATACAGCAAATACTATAAATACAGTAAATACTATAAATACTATAAATACTGTAAATACAGCAAATACTATAAATACTGTAAATACAGTAAATACTATAAATACAGCAAATACTATAAATACAGTAAATACTATAAATACTGTAAATACTATAAATACTGTAAATACTATAAATACTGTAAATACTATAAATACTGTAAATACTATAAATACAGCAAATACTGTAAATACTGTAAATACAGTAAATACTATAAATACTATAAATACTATAAATACAGCAAATACTGTAAATACTGTAAATACAGTAAATACTATAAATACTATAAATACTGTAAATACAGCAAATACTATAAATACAGTAAATACATTAAATACAGCAAATACTATAAATACAGCAAATACTATAAATACAGCAAATACTATAAATACAGTAAATACTATAAATACTGTAAATACTATAAATACTGTAAATACAGTAAATACTATAAATACAGCAAATACTATAAATACTGTAAATACAGTAAATACTATAAATACTATAAATACTGTAAATACAGCAAATACATTAAATACAGTAAATACATTAAATACAGCAAATACATTAAATACAGCAAATACTATAAATACAGCAAATACTATAAATACTGTAAATACATTAAATACAGCAAATACTATAAATACAGTAAATACATTAAATACTGTAAATACTATAAATACAGCAAATACTATGAATACAGCAAATACTGTAAATACAGCAAATACTATGAATACAGCAAATATTATAAATACAGTAAATACATTAAATACTGTAAATACTATAAATACAGCAAATACTATAAATACAGTAAATACTATAAATACTGTAAATACAATAAATACAGCAAATACTGTAAATACTATAAATACTGTAAATACTATAAATACTGTAAATACTATAAATACAGCAAATACTGTAAATACTGTAAATACAGTAAATACTATAAATACAGCAAATACTGTAAATACAGTAAATACTATAAATACTATAAATACTGTAAATACAGCAAATACTATAAATACTGTAAATACTATAAATACTATAAATACAGCAAATACTATAAATACTGTGAATACTATAAATACTGTAAATACAGCAAATACTATAAATACTATAAATACAGCAAATACTGTAAATACTGTAAATACTATAAATACTGTAAATACTATAAATACTGTAAATACTATAAATACAGTAAATACTATAAATACTGTAAATACTATAAATACAGCAAATACTGTAAATACTGTAAATACAGTAAATACAGCAAATACAATAAATACAGCAAATACTATAAATACAGTAAATACTATAAATACTGTAAATACTATAAATACTGTAAATACTATAAATACTGTAAATACAGTAAATACAGCAAATACTATAAATACAGTAAATACTATAAATACTGTAAATACTATAAATACAGCAAATACTGTAAATACTGTAAATACAGTAAATACAGCATATACAATAAATACAGCAAATACTATAAATACAGCAAATACTATAAATACAGTAAATACTATAAATACTATAAATACTATAAATACAGCAAATACTGTAAATACTGTAAATACAGCAAATACTATAAATACAGCAAATACTATAAATACTGTAAATACAGTAAATACTATAAATACAGTAAATACTATAAATACTATAAATACTGTAAATACAGCAAATACTATAAATACTGTAAATACTATAAATACTATAAATACAGCAAATACTATAAATACTGTAAATACTATAAATACTGTAAATACAGCAAATACTATAAATACTATAAATACAGCAAATACTGTAAATACAGTAAATACTGTAAATACAGTAAATACAGCAAATACTGTAAATACAGTAAATACAGCAAATACTGTAAATACAGTAAATACTATAAATACTATAAATACTGTGAATACAGCAAATACTATAAATACTGTAAATACAGCAAATACTATAAATACTGTAAATACTATAAATACAGCAAATACTATAAATACAGTAAATACTATAAATACTGTAAATACTATAAATACAGCAAATACTGTAAATACAGTAAATACAGCAAATACTATAAATACAGCAAATACTATAAATACAGTAAATACTATAAATACAGTAAATACTATAAATACTGTAAATACTATAAATACTGTAAATACTATAAATACAGCAAATACTGTAAATACAGCAAATACTGTAAATACAGCAAATACTGTAAATACTGTAAATACAGCAAATACTATAAATACAGCAAATACTATAAATACTGTAAATACAGTAAATACTATAAATACTATAAATACTGTAAATACAGCAAATACTATAAATACTGTAAATACTATAAATACAGCAAATACTATAAATACTGTAAATACTATAAATACTGTAAATACAGCAAATACTGTAAATACAGTAAATACTATAAATACTATAAATACTGTAAATACAGCAAATACTATAAATACTGTAAATACAGCAAATACTATAAATACTGTAAATATAGTAAATACTGTAAATACAGTAAATATAGTAATTACTATAAATACTATAAATACTGTAAATACTATAAATACAGTAAATATAGTAAATACTATAAATACTATAAATACTGTAAATACTATAAATACTGTAAATACAGTAAATACTGTAAATACAGTAAATACTATAAATACTGTAAATACAGCAAATACTATAAATACTGTAAATACTATAAATACAGCAAATACTATAAATACTGTAAATACTATAAATACTATAAATACAGCAAATACTATAAATACAGGAAATACTATAAATACTGTAAATACTATAAATACTGTAAATACTGTAAATATAGTAAATACTGTAAATACAGCAAATACTATAAATACAGTAAATATAGTAAGTACTGTAAATACAGCAAATACTATAAATACTATAAATACAGTAAATATAGTAAATACTGTAAATACAGCAAATACTATAAATACAGTAAATATAGTAAGTACTGTAAATACAGCAAATACTATAAATACTATAAATACATGAATATAGTAAATACTGTAAATACAGCAAATACTATAAATACAGTAAATATAGTAAGTACTGTAAATACAGCAAATACTATAAATACTGTAAATACTATAAATACAGCAAATACTATAAATACAGCAAATACTATAAATACTGTAAATACTATAAATACTGTAAATACAGCAAAGACTATAAATACTGTAAATACAGCAAATACTGTAAATACAGTAAATACTATAAATACTATAAATACAGCAAATACTATAAATACTGTAAATACAGTAAATACTATAAATACTATAAATACAGCAAATACTATAAATACTGTAAATACAGCAAATACTATAAATACTATAAATACAGCAAATACTATAAATACTGTAAATATAGTAAATACTGTAAATACAGTAAATATAGTAAATACTATAAATACTGTAAATACAGTAAATACTATAAATACTATAAATACTGTAAATACAGCAAATACTATAAATACTGTAAATATAGCAAATACTGTAAATACAGTAAATATAGTAAGTACTGTAAATACAGCAAATACTATAAATACTATAAATACAGTAAATATAGTAAATACAGTAAATACAGTAAATATAGTAAATACTATAAATACAGTAAATATAGTAAATATTATAAATATAGTAAATATTATAAATACAGTAAATATAGTAAGTACTATAAATACAGTAAATATAGTAAATATTATAAATACATGAAATATAGTAAATACTATAAATATAGTAAATACTATAAATACAGTAAATATAGTAAATATTATAAATACAGTAAACATAGTAAGTACTACAAATACAGTAAATATAGTAAATATTATAAATACATTAAATATAGTAAATACTATAAATACAGTAAATATGGTAAATATTATAAATACATTAAATATTGTAAATACTATAAATACAGTAAATACTATAAATACAGTAAATAAATATAGTAAATACTATAAATACAGTAAATATAGTAAATACTATAAATACAGTAAATACTATAAATACAGTAAATACTATAAATACTATAAATACAGTAAATACTATAAATATTATAAATACAGTAAATACAGTAAATACAGTAAATACTATAAATACAGTAAATACTATAAATACAGTAAATACAGTAAATACAGTAAATATAGTAAATACTATAAATACAGTAAATATAGTAAGTACTATAAATACAGTAAATACTATAAATACTATAAATACAGTAAATACTATAAATACAGTAAATACTATAAATACAGTAAATACTATAAATACTATAAATACAGTTAATATTATAAATACAGTAAATACAGTAAATACAGTAAATATAGTAAATACTATAAATACAGTAAATATAGTAAGTACTATAAATACAGTAAATACTATAAATACAATAAATACAGTAAATACAATAAATACAGTAAATACTATAAATACAGTAAATACTATAAATACAGTAAATACTATAAATACTATAAATACAGTAAATATTATAAATACAGTAAATATTATAAATACTGTAAATATAGTAAATACTATAAATACTATAAATACAGTAAATATTATAAATACAGTAAATACAGTAAATATAGTAAATACTATAAATACATTAAATATTGTAAATACTATAAATACAGTAAACATAGTAAATACTATAAATACAGTAAAAATAGTAAATATTATAAATACAGTAAATATTGTAAATACTATAACTACAGTAAATATAGTAAATATTATAAATACTGTAAATATAGTAAATACTATAAATACTGTAAATATAGTAAATACTGTAAATACAGTAAATATAGTAAATACTATAAATACAGCAAATACTATAAATACTGTAAATACTATAAATACTGTAAATACAGTAAATACTATAAATACTGTAAATACAGCAAATACTATAAATACAGTAAACATAGTAAATACTATAAATACAGTAAACATAGTAAATATTATAAATACAGTAAATATTGTAAATACTATAAATACTACAGATATTACAAACACAGTTTCTAAAGTAGGATAATGAAATATATCTATAATTACATTATAATAAACAGCACACTGACCTCATTGTGCCTTTAAGCGTCACTGTGGCGCCCCCTGATGTCTCATAAAGACAAACCAGTCAAATTACCTGTTTTTTTTTTCTCCACGTTGCTAGGGGCGACCCCAGCCTTCAAACCACCGCCTCCCTCCAGTGGACCAATAGAAAGCACGTTTGACGCCATCAGAGGAGTCATCAACGAAGACGTCGTCAAGACAACACAGGGCATTTATCAGTTCGACCTATCAGGTAACAGTAAAGTTAGATTGTGTCCATATAAGGAGATTCTGTGGGCGTGGCAACAACATGAACGTCTTTATGTCCATATAAGGAGATCACAAAGGCGTTTGGTTCCTGGACTTGAAGAGCGGCGCCGGCAGCGCGGGGCCGGGCCAGCCCGTCAAAGCCGACGTCATCATGGCGATGGACTCGAGCGACTTCAGCAAGATGTTTGCAGGTGAGCCGTCACCACGGTAACGCTGGTGTAAAACACAGCCATAGCGATGGATTTAGCGGCGTTGTTTCCGTGGTAACAGCTGTGTGTTGGCGTCCTCAGGGGAGCTGAAGCCGACGATGGCCTTCATGTCGGGGAAGCTGCGGATCAAAGGCGACATGACGCTCGCCCTCAAACTGGAGAAACTGATGACCCGCATGAGCAAGGCCAAACTGTGAGACTGAAGCCCCGCCCCCAGACCCACTCAGGCCCCGCCCACCCGCTGTACATGTTGCCTTAATAAAATAATAATGAAATAATAACATTTTAATAAAACCTTAATAAAAAACTGAAAACGTTGTGGTTTCATTCAGAGAACTCTGTTTATATCTCTGATATTATTATACTGAGGACATTCAGCACACAGACCATTATTAACATTAGAATTAATGTTAATATTCATATATAAATATATATGTATATTTTTATATATATATATATTTATATATATATCTATATATAAATATATATGTATATTTTTATATATATATATATTTATATATATATCTATATATTTATATATAGATATATATAGATGTGTGTGTTGCAGCCAGTCACTCCACCATCTCTCCCTGTTGCGTGTCAACAAGTGTGAAGTGTGTATTTCAGCCTGTGTGTGTGGATCAATAAACTGTCTTATGTGTAAAAGCTGGTGTCACATTTTACACATCAAACAATAAAAACTGTTTAAGTAAAAACCCTCCTGTTTTCTTCTTCTGTGATCTCTTAGTAAAAGGGGGCATTTAATTATCATATTAATATTAATATATATATTATTATTAATATCTATATAAGGACCGTGCATGCCTATAAGTAAGAATACCTGTCAGATAAATGGGAGTGTGATAAATATTCAAGTTCCTCAAAACTAAAACGTTTAGTTTCCTTTATTATAATTATAAAATAATATACTATTATTATTATTATTATTATTATTATTATTATTAGAGTTATGAAGTATCAGAGTATCAGTATCTGTATAAATCTACAAATATCAGTATCTGCTGTCGGACACCATAAAACAATGAGCATGAGTGATTCACTCAGTCTCTCAAACACACCTGCGAGTGCAGCTGCTGAACTTCCGGTTCTCGTTATCCAATCAGAGGCCGGATCCAGGTGTACGGAGGGCTTTTAGTCGCAGCTGTGGCGGCTCCGGCCGTCAGCTTCCAGCCGCTCTTCGGTCGTTCCCCTCGGCAGAGAACAGTGGAGCATGTCGGCGGTTCTCGGACGGATGATGATGATGATGGTCTGGGTTTGGATCAGTCTGCTGACTCTAGCCCGGTTCAACACGGCACAGGACCAGCACCGGGACGCCGAGCTCACGGCGCTGCTGGAGGAGACCGGGAGCGGCGGAAGACTTTCTCCGGTGCCAGTGTGGAAGTTCCTGAACGGTAAAAAGATCCACCTGTGATCAATAAAGGAAGTTAAATCCAACATGGAGTTCAGAGTTTGTCCTGATGAAGTGAATGAAGTGATTTAAATAGTTTCACACTCACTTTGTTTTTACTAACTGCTAATTAAACCCTGAAATATAATTAAATAAATGTAACCTTCCTCAACCAGCAGACATAATAAATGTAATTATAATTAAACTGCTGTTAATATTTACATTTATTGTATCATTAATGAAAAAAATCAACTTTTGTTAAAAAATGTCTCTTAGCTTCTCTGAGCCACTAGCTTAGTCCAGCTACGGCCACGCCCCCTGTGGTTCTCTCTGCTGCCTTTAGTGGGCGCTAGCTATCAGAACTGAAGTTGAACTGGATTCCTTCCCATCATGCATCAGCAGTAACTCTTTCTGTTTCAGAGCGCCGTGACGGTGGTGAGGCGTCAGATTTCGGCCGGGTGCAGTATCTCTGCAGCGGCAGCTCGCTGTCTGTTCGCTTCTCGCTCATTCGACACACTGATCTGCGCCTGGCAGGTGAGTTTGATTCGTCCACCAGCTGCAGAGATTTTACACACTTGGATTGCCAGAATGAAATATAGAAGTTTAGTTTACTGACTGATTCAGTCTCATTATATAATGTCACACCAGGAGCATCAGCAAGCTTTAGCTCAAACTATAAAACGTTAAAAAGGTTCAAATGAAACCTATTAAACTCTTTACACCGGCACACTGCAGTGGGGGCGGAGCTACAGAAATCTTCATGTGCTTTAATCAGTCACATTTAATGTTTACTGAAGCTGCCAAATTAAGATTAGCGCATGGTGTTGATTCATGTTTCTAATAAATTTTCCCCACTCAGCGATACACCCGCTGAGGAACCAACTCTGGTTATTGGCAGCTCCATAGTCAGAAACGTGAAGTTAGCGAAGCCAGCGGCCATAGTTAAATGTATCCCTGGGGCCAGAGCGGGCGACATTGAATCAAATTTAAAACTGCTGGCTAAAGATAAACATAAATACAGTAAGATTGTTATCCACGTCGGCGGTAACGACACCCGTTTACACCAATCGGAGGTCACTAAGATTAATGTGGAGTCGGTGTGTAACTATGCTAAGACAATGTCGGACACCGTAGTTTTCTCTGGACCCCTGCCCAATGTGACCAGTGATGACATGTATAGCCGCATGTCGTCATTCCACCGCTGGCTGTCGAGGTGGTGTCCAGCAAACGATGTGGGCTTCATTGATAACTGGAAGCCTTTTTGGGGAAAACCTGGTCTGATTAGGAGAGACGGCATCCATCCCACTTTGGATGGAGCGGCTCTCTTATCTAGAAATATGGCAAAGTTTATTTCTAAAACCTGACAGTCCAGAGTTAGGACCAGGAAGCAGAGCTGCTGTCTTACACACTTCTCTGCTCTTTCTTTAGAACAGTCACCCACCCAAAACCCCATAGAGACTGTGTCTGTCCCCCGACCACCAAAATTATTTAAAGAAATAAAAACAAGAGGAGTTCAACATAAAAACCTAATAAAAATTAAAACCAACTCCTCAGTAGCACAAAATAAGAGAATGAAATGTGGACTGTTAAATATCAGGTCTCTGTCCTCTAAAGCTGTTTTAGTGAATGAATTAATATCAGATTATGATATTGATTTACTTTGTCTTACTGAGACCTGGTTGTCCCACGAGGAGTATGTTAGCCTAAATGAATCCACCCCCCAGTCATATTAATACTCTCATTCCTCGAGGCACAGGCCGAGGAGGTGGAGTGGCAGCCATATATGATTCGAGCGTTTTAATGGACCCTAAACCTAAACTAAATTATAATTCATTTGAAAGCCTTGTTCTTAGTCTTTCTCACCCAAACTGGAAAACACTGCAGCCAGTTCTATTTGTTATAGTGTACCGCGCTCCTGGACCGTACTCTGATTTTATATCTGAATTCTCAGAGTTTCTATCAAGTATAGTCCTTAAATCAGATAAAGTAATTATTGTAGGTGATTTTAATATTCATGTGAATGTTAACAATGACAGCCTTAGTAATGCATTTATATCATTAATAGACTCAATTGGCTTCTGTCAGAGTGTAAATAAACCAACTCATTGTTTTAATCACACTCTTGACCTTGTTCTATCATATGGCATTGATATTGAACATTTTATAGTCTTCCCACATAATCCTTTCCTATCTGACCATTATTTAATAACTTTTGAATTCATACTATTAGATTATAAGCCATTAGGCAAAACTTCTGTCGTGGAAATTCTTCCCAAAGTTGAGAGGTGCTAAGTCTCTGAAGAACTTTCAAGCCGGTGTGATAATCAAGTCACTTTACTTCATGCTGCATGGAGAGAAGGTCACGTCATGGATGTTCTCTCCCGACTTCCAAAATGCTCTCCCTTATATACATTTCAGTGCATCTCATTACATCACAAACAATGAAACCCCCTGTGTGTCTTGCAAATGTTACTCCTGTAAATCCAGGTCTCTCTCACCAAATGGTCCTTTGATGTGTGACTTCCCCCTGGCTCTTCCTATCATAAACTCAACCTTTTGACCAGGGGCACATCTATTTTATTACCCCCAAATCCTGTTTCTCTCCCACACTTCCTACAGCAGATGTCTATCTGACAGTGCTGTAGCTAAATTTAAGGAGGAGATTCCTTCAGTGTTTAATTCAATGCCATGTCTGAATTTAAGAGTCCTATAACGACTTTAGTCCCTCTGAAATTGATAATCTTGTCGATAGTGCTACAGGCTCACTACGATCAACATTAGACTCTATCGCTCCTATAAAAAGGAAATTATTAAACCATAGGAGACTAGCACCTTGGTATAACCACCAAACCCGCCAGTTAAAACAAATAGCTAGACAATCTGAAAGGAAATGGCGCTCTTCCAAATTATCAGAATATCGCTCAAATTGGCAAGATAATCTTAAAACCTATAGAAAGGCCCTCCGTATTGCCAGAGGAGCCTATTACTCAGCACTAATAGAAGAAAATAAGAACAACCCTAGGTTCCTCTTCAGCACTGTATCACCAGGCTGACAGAGAGTCACAGCTCTATCGAGCCACATATCCCCATAAACTTAAGTAGCAATGACTTCATGAGCTTCTTCTATAATAAAATTATTACTATTAGAGAGAAAATTAATCACCAACTGCCATCAACAGTTATCAGTGGCTCTCCAAGTTCAGGGACTTCTGTCAATGTAAACTTAGATGTATATTTAGACTGTTTTTCTGCTATCGATCTTCATCAGTTAACTTCAATCATTTCTTCATCGAAGCCATCAACCTGTCTATTTAACAGGCAGTGTTTCCTTGCCCTTGTCTCAAAGGTCTTGCTCATGGTGGTACTGTTGGGTCTCTGTAAATGTTATAAAGAGTTCGGTCTAGACCTGCTCTATTTGAAAAGTGTCCTGAGATAACTTCTGTTCTGAATTGGCGCTATACAAATAAAATTGAATTAAGTTTTCTAAGACTTTTTTTTTTTTACTTCCAGTAAAAGCAGGGTCCCCAATAGAAGCCTGTCTCCATTAAAAGCTGGCTGTGGCTCCACGTTCTGACAAAACAAGTTTAACATTTATTCAGATGCTGCAAACAAGAGAGCAGATTGTAAAGTCTGTACAGTCCGTTCCTCCATTATTTATTCAGGGTCCACCCATCAGAACAAAGTGTTTCATTAAATAAATCTGAGTTGTGAATATGATGTCTGTTTGCCTTTAATCAGCTGAATATAACAATCATTGTGTTCGGTACCTTTTAGAATGACATTTTTTTTATCTACAGAGGAAGCAGGTCCTCTTCCGGTGGAGTCCGCCATGTTTGTACAGTAGCCCAGAGTGGACAAAAACACTGGATCTAGAGCGACTTTCATGTTTTTCACAAGTTCTGCAAACAGTTTCTCTTCCACAGCCCGATCTCATTCCCAGGTTATCAAACGCTCTAAATCCCACACTGGTCCTTTTAGGTTAATCCTAATTAATGGGTGATGGGTTACTATCTTTTATTTTGTCCTATCGTCTTTCCACAGACGGGAGGAGGTTGTTGACAGATGGATGTCAAGGTTCTGTTCGTAACCTCGGGCCGTGGATGCTGCTGACGCTGCCTTATACCAGCTGCCACTTGGCATTATGGGTAGGAACATTTAAAAAAAAAAAATAAATAAAAATAAATAGATATATAGAGATATAGATATATATATATATAGATATATATAGATATATATATATATCTATCTATATCTATCTATATATATCTATCTATATCTATCTATATATATCTATCTATATATATCTATATCTATCTATCTATATCTATCTCTATCTATATATATCTATCTATATCCTATATATATCTATATATATCTATATATATCTATATCTATCTATCTATATCATATCTATCTATATATATCTATATCTATCTATATATATCTATATCTATCTATATATATCTATATCTATCTATATATATCTATATATATAGAGATATCTATCTATATCTATCTATATCTATCTATATATATAGAGATATCTATATATCTATCTATATCTATCTATATATATAGAGATATCTATATATCTATCTATATCTATCTATAGATATATATTAGATTATCTATCTGATTTTCATTATCACCCTAAATACCAAATGTTCATAATTTCTACTCCCCTTTTTTAATTTTGATTTAGCGATAAACTGTCTGATTACTTTGCTTCTGATATAGTCTGCTTAAAGATAAGAGCTAGAATGAGTTAAATATTGACTTTTCCCCCTGGTGACGGTTGTGTTTTTTCACTCTCCAGGTTTCAAATGGAACCTGGTTTCGTCAGCTGAGACTTCGTTACTTTGACCATCTGCTGCAGGCAAACGTAACTGGTCTGGCCACCTGTGAGAATCCTGCAACATCCCTGCAACTGATGCCACCGTTGGTGACTTGCAGAACAACAGATGTCACTGTGAAACTGCCTCTTGGAACGTCGGGCGCCCGTGGTGGTGGTCGCCGTGGGGGTCGTCGTCGGGGCATCAGACGTGTCAGCCAGTGGTGGGGCGCCCGTGGTGGTGGTCGTCGTCGTGGGCGCCCGTGGTGCTGCTGGTGGTGGTCGTCGTCGCCGGGCGCCCGTGGTGCTGCTGGTGGTCGTCGTCGGGGCGCAAGTGGTGGTGGTGGTCGTCGTCCGTCGCGCAAGTGGTGGTGGTGCTGGTACTGGTGGTAGTCGTCGGGGCACCAGGGGTGTCGATTCCGGTATACGGCCCTTCAGAAATTTCATCAAATCCCCACAACTCAAAGATTTCTGTGTCAGCATCAGTCACTTCGTCATTCCGGAACCCACTGGGCTCCGTCGGTTCCTGGATGACGGGCTCCACTAGAACTTGCTCAAAGTCCCAAAGCTCCCACAGGTTGGGGTTTTGGAGAGCTCTTGGGTGTCGATCCCGCCTAGTTTGTGTTGCTGCAGTGGAACAAGCTGCCAGCATCGTGGATGTTTTCCCAGCAGAGTCTAAATAAATCACTTCAAAGATTGAATC